TGACAAAAAGACCAAGTGCTATTATTATTTTCAGCGTTGTTATATCCATTTGCTTTGAAACAAAGGCGTCTTACACATGGTGACGTTTATCCGCCATCCACTGCTGTAGACGATACCTAAACATTTACTGGACTTCGGGGTTTTCCAGGTAGGTTACTTTTAAGCGATGAACCTGTGAGCCTGAAAACTTCAACCAATAGCTATATCGATTTTTTGTCCGCGACAAAATCATTTCAGCTTAAAGCACGAAAATCTCTCTGTGTTGCAATTACAGATTTACCAATCGTAAAGAAACTTTTCAACAGCAAACGCATGATATTCACCAGTTCAAGCTATGATGCCATCTTAAAGACAAATAGTAATGTATTAGCTAGATGAAGACACCATTGTCACTTGCCTAACTTTAATAGCATCGTACTGGTGAGAGTTTAAAATGTGGGAGATATTTCTGCCGCGCCCTGTATTTGTCTTCATTTTTCACATATGAAAATTTTCTAATTTTTTTTTTATTCTCACTTTTCACATATGACAGTTTTGGTGTTGTTCACTCTTTGGTAAAGATATTGTTTATTAAATTCTGCTTTGTCTCTTCCTGCTTCCTGTCTTAGTCTACATTGAAAAAAAAAAAGTGCCAACCTTCGAAAATGCGATGTACATTGTGCAGCAGAAATACCTCCCACATTTCAAAGGTTGACAAAAACACTAAGGTTACTACTAAGAAAACATATATATATATATATATATATATATATATATATATATACACACACATATATATATATATATATATATATATATATATATATATATATATATATATATATAAAAGAAAAGAGGTTGTAGTGGTTCCAACGAGAAAAGTATGTGTATTAAAAAGAAGAGAAGAGAGGTGCCGCAAACGTTTTTGGTTGTAATGTGTTTTTTTTAGAAAAAAATATTATGCTTTATTTTCTATAATTTTACGACACGTGTTTCTAGTCTCGTGACGGTCTTCAGGTAAAAGGTGGAGATTTCCACATATTATTAAAAATAATTTTTTTTCCTTATGTTTTTCAATGTTAAATATTCTCGATATGAGACATACTCTGTTTTTGTGTTAGTAATCCGAATGTCTTTCTTGAACTGGCAATGAAGAGTTCTGCGTGAAGAAAATGATGAATGAGTTATCGGTATTTAACTTTCAATGTTTTACTGACACCTGTGCGTTCTTAGATCTGTTTCTATTTTCGTGTGTTTCTGTCAGCATGCGTGTATATATGCGTGTGCATATTCCGCCTCCATACATACACTGTCTTACTACGTGGAATTGGTAAACTCATTTGTACACATACACACATATATACACATACGGACATACACGCCGTCCGACCACAAGGAATCAGTACATACACACACATACATACACACACACATGCACACACACACACACACACACACACACACAGACACATATATATATATATATATATATATATATATAAATACAAATATAGATAACTATACTCGTTCCGAAAAACCCTCGAATTTTTTATTTGCCAATAATCAAATCAATCTCGAGGGAAAAAAGGTTTTAAAAAAAGAAAGAACTACAAACATGAAAATCTGTCGAAAAAAATCGCACAGATACAGGTCTGAAGCCCAAAGAAAAAACCCCGATACGAGTAAACAACTAACTAACAAAAGAGCTCAATACAACCGTAGAGCAGACCTAGATACACCTAGTGAGCCAGACAAACCTACCCAGGTTTCACCTAAACGGATCTTCAGGGGAGTCAGCTAAAGAGGCAAAGGAAAACGCATAGGTTTATCTATCTATCTATCTCATTCTGTGCCTATCTATCTATCTCATTTAATATCTATCTATCTATCTATCTATCTATCTATCTATCTCATTCTGTATCTATCTATCTATCTATCTATCTATCTATCTATCTATCTCTCTCTCTCTCTCTCTATATATATATATATATATATATATCATTCTGTCCCTATCTATCTATTTCATTTCTTTCATCTCTCTCTCTCTCTCTCTCTCTCTCTCTATCTATCTATCTATCTCATTCTGTGCCTATCTATCTATCTCATTTAATGTTTACCTATCTATCTCATTTTGTATCTATCTATCTATCTATGTATCTATCTATCTATCTATTCTGTCCCTATCTATCTATTTCATTTCTTTCATCTCTCTCTCTCTCTCTCTCTCTATATATATATATATATATATATATATATATATGCCGGTAGGTTGATGACTGACTGCTTAATCCGATAATCCCAACCCAGAAGCATGTTTAAGGGCTGAAAATGTGTGAGATTACAGAACAGACTCTCCTACTGCCCGGACATTTTCGGGAGTTCGATCGTTTCGAGCTCTTTCAGGTGGCTTTCATTTAAGCGTAGAATCTGTGGCACTGAAATTTTTAATAATTACGTGCCAACAAAGAATAAATTTTTGGTCATTTTTACGCGGTCATTCTGTGCCTATCAAGCTCATTTAATGTTTATCTATCTATCTATCTATCTATCTATCTATCTATCTATCTATCTCATTATGTATCTATCTATCTATCTATCTATCTATCTATCTCATTATGTGTATACCTATCTATCTATCTATTAATCTATCTCATTCTGTGCCTATCTATCTATCTATCTATCTATCTATCTATCTATCTATCTATCTATCTATCTCATTTAATGTTTATCTATCCACCTATCTATCTATCTATCTATCTATCTATCTATCTATCTCATTCTTTGCCTATATATCTATCTCATTTAATGTTTATCTATCTATCTATCTCATTCTGTATCTATCTATCTATCTATCTATCTATATATATATATATATATATATATATATATATTATTCTGCCCCTATCTATCTATTTCATTTCTTTCGTCTCTCTCTCTCTCTCTCTCTCTCTCTCTCTATCTATCTATCTATCTTTCGACCCATAGCAGTAACAATTCCGAAGTGACATTTCTGTGTTGCAATTACAGATTCACCGGTCTTTTAAAAAGAATGTTTCAACAAAACGCAAGGAGAGCACCAGTTCCAGCACCTACATCCGTGTGCAAATTAATTGAAACAAAACGAAGAATTCCGTTATTATTTACTATTTTTCGTATTTTTTCCAATGAAACATAGCCCAATTCATATATTAGGACTTCGTATGTCTATTCCACGAAGTCTTTCCTTGCAGATTGACCACAGAATCTCGATTAGATTTAAAATCTTGAGTTTCCGTGCCAGTCTATAGTACTTTGATTTGCCCACTGGTAAGGCTTGCCACTGTGTTCGTGCAGCGTTGCATTTATCGCACGCTTCCTTGGAGTAACGTCCATCGCAGACAATGGCCATAGGACAACTAATCAACAGTTGAGACAATAGTGCCTGCGCATGATGAATATCTGATGCAATTACGGATGACGCAATATTTTTCTAGGACAAACAAATTTCATCATACACCACGAAAACTGATTCATATTATGCACACCATTGCAAATGAAGGAATCTGAGAAAAAAATAGAAATCGATTGCTCCCCTGTCACCCCAGTGGGTCTAAAACTGACCGTATGGTGACAGAAAGGAAACTAAAGCGTTTGTTTCAATTAATTTGCACAAGGGTGTATCTATCTTTCTTAGTATGTATGTATGTATGTATGTATCTATCTATCTATCTATCTATCTATCTATCTATCTACCTCAGTCTGTTTCTATCTATCTATCTATCTATCTATCTATCTATCTCGCTGTGTTTATATCCATCGACCTATCTATTTGTGTCTGTCCCTATCTATCTATCTATCTATCTATCGAGATATTTATGGATTCTGGAAATGCGTCATCATTGCTTTCATTTCAGTTCTAGATCATAGATTGTTTTGGAAAGGTTTATCCTGAGTCCTTCATCCTGGAATGCTTGAAACAATCTGATGTCAGGTAATCCTCACCAGTATATTTTACTTTATAAACCGTGTAAAATTAGAATTATCACTTGTTTTTATCGCGTGACAAAAGATGGCGGTCATGCTGAGAATAGTGGCATGCGTTTACTTGCTAAATATAGACCCAACAACAAGTCAAGCGACACCTAGCGGTTGAAACTGTAAATAGTGGCTGGGTGTTTTCTTTCAAACAGTTGCAGGATACATTTTCTTTTTTTTTTCTTTCAATGGGAAAAAGTTGATTGGGAGAAGGGCTGTATAGCGAATATAAATGTTATGTTTTATTTGATATTGACTGACCTCTGGAAACCCATCAATGGACCACCAGATTAAAAAGCTCTGTCCAAGAGGAACTACTTTCCGAATATAGTTGTACACGTATACGTCACCTTACGTCGATGATTTGTTCCAGAGGTCCCGACTTAAACCGAAAAACGACTTAAGTCAAAATAACTACACTATAAAATTGCCTATTACCGTATTTATTATAAGTAAGTACATTATTCAAAATAAAATAATTTCCACCTTATCTTCCAGTGATATAGTCTTGCGCACTTGCCCTTGGACTTGCCCTTCAGGTCCATAGTGAAAAATGAATTGTAAATCACAAGTGAAATGTAATTGAAAGAACATCAGCGTCAGAGTACAGACTAAACATTTTGAATTCAAAATCGGTTTTGTAGCAGAAACAACGCACGAATTTGAAATAAAAGCATCTGCTAAACATACTTTTTTTTGTTTTTGAAGATTTTTTTTATAAACATTACGCCCCGAGCAAGGCGTGAAGCCACTAGGATGCAGGGGGGTTGCAGAAGATTTGGAGCAAGAGCAGATAGGAGTGATAGAAGAAAGGATGAGGAGAAGGATAGTAGGTAGATCAAGGTAACCGATTGACATTACACTTGAATAGTTGGAGATTATAGCTCTCAGGGAAACAGTAATTGGGGAGGGTGTTCCACAGGCGAGAGGTGCGAGGTATGAAGCTATTGGAGTAGAAGAGACGGCTACATTTAAAAGTTTCTACAGTGAAAGGGTGAGAGCGGGATGCCAGCCTCGTAGGGCGCTTGAATTCATGAAGTTTGGGAACCAGTGAAAGCAGCTCATCGGAGCAATTACCATGAAAGTATTTGTAGAAAAGACAGAGAGAGGCGACGGCGTGTCTGTGAGAGAGTGACTGTAGAAAAGACGCCAGATCAGGGCCAATTAGATTACATATCCGTCTCTGGATCTTGTCAAGAACTCCGAGGTAAACAGAAGGTGCCCCAGACCATATATGGCAGCAATACTCCATGCAAGGGCGAATGGTTGATTTGTATATTTGAAGTATCGATTCCGGGGAGAAAATTTTCCTGGCGCGGCACAGAGAGCCAACTTTCCTCGCGGTGGAAGAAGCAATTGACTCAATGTATTTGTTTCATCTCAGATCAGCAGTCAACGTGAGACCGAGCAGACGCAGGGAGATGCTCTCAAGAAGTTGATTATCAGACATTCTATAACATATATATATATATATATATATATATATATATATATATATATGAAAACAATAAACAAAAACTAAAATGACTGAACTTATATAAATAAAACAGTTTAAACCTAACCTGAACAAAATAAACTATGAAATCTCCACAATATTCTTAAATACCTATAATTGATTACAGAAGCCATTGGTTTATACTAATGGCTTCCCATACTTCTCGTTTTCACTGTGGCGTGGTCATGCGTGTCGTCACGAGCTGCGGTGCGATTTCCGCTTCCTCGTCTCGTATACACGAGTTTGTCGTTGCTTGGAAATCTTTCATGCAACAATAATTATTGTTTTGCCCGTATATTGTTTAATAAATTGAAATGTAATTGTCATCTTTGATAATCATTTATGTAAGCCGAAAGATTCGATGGGATTAAAAAACATGTATCAATATGGTGATTTTCTTTCATCTTACAATGATAATGTTATTAAGCTTATCAGACAATATCAAAGGAATTTACTTAATATAAATAGACAAAATTTGCCTATATTATTTAATGAAACATGCGTCAATACATACATACACACACACACACACACACACACATATATATATATATATATATATATATATATATATATATATATATTACAAATTCATGAATTATTCACACAAAAACAAATGCAAAAGGTTAATGATTTAATTGGCGAGAAATCCATCGTCAAACAATTCAAATAATATACAAAAACCTCCGAATCCGTTATGAATGAAAAGATCCTTGTTTCTATAAATTTCTACCGTATTAGTTCTTATTTTTACTACAAGCTTTCGTCTGTTCCTACAGACATCTTCAGGTATGGAATAGATGTTGTTCTTGTTTTTCTCTTAGTAATAAAAGGACAACGAAAATATATGTATTGTTGTATCCGAAAATGCTATTGGAAATGAGTTATTGTTTTTGGAGCGTTTATCGAATATATATATATATATATATATATATATATATATATATATATATATATGCATGTATGTATGTATATAGTATACATATTTAAATTTATTTAAATATAATTTCTTGTGTTTATTGTTATTTTAGTGTTTTGAAATTTCTAATATTTTTAGCGCCAGACATAAACTGGACAAAAACGACCTAAGGCGAGTTTTATTTTTCCGTATAAGATTTGAGAAAAACCGACGTATCTTCGAAATCGGCTTAACTCGAAACGACTTAAGCCGGAGTATCACTGCATATGACTATCAAAAACAGAACTGAAAAGGAGGTGGGACGAACATCAGAGCAACTGAATCATTATTCATGAAGAGATGATGGTTTTGTTAATATAAATATTACAAGATGGCATCAAAGAGAACATAACCTCGATTTCATAAAATTTTGTAATGATACCAATTTATAGAACCCAACCATCTACTAAAGATTACATGCATAAAAACGCGCAGAGACGTAAGCAAGAAAAAAAGATTGTTTAAATTGTCTTGTATTTTTCAAAAGCACGCGTCCCAACTGTCAAATCACATTTCCTAACCGTCTCAAAAGTTTAGTTCCGGCAGCAACACATATTTAATGCGTCATGAATCAGTAAAAAAAAATTACATCATTTGCCAATTTACAACCGGAGAAAATATATATATATATATATATATATAATATTAGTTGTCAATATATATATATATATAAATATACACGCATGCCAGACTAGGGTTAATACATTTTCCGTTTCAAATTTAGACACCCCCACCTTTCCCTGACTTGACATCTATGAAAGTAACTCTATACTGATACTTATTATTAACACCCAACACACGCCTACCCAATTTAAACAATTCATCCTAGCTGTTACCATGGAAATTTTAATTTCAATTATTAAAACACGTAAATTTCAGAAATACGTTATTCCCAAAAAATTTCACTTGAAGATGGAACAGAGCTTACTTTAACTCAATTTAATTTTCGGCTCTTGTTTTGAAACATGAGACCTCTTATGTCGCGAGTTGGAATCATATGTTTTAAATAAATAATTATATATATATATATATATATATATATATATATATATATATATATATATATATATATATATTAGGTTGCTGAAAAAATAATGACGTAATAATGTCGTTTTGTGACGTATTTTTAAGGTCAAAAAACGACATTATTACGTCATTATTTTACACCAACCTAATATATATATATATATATATATATATATATATATGTATGTATAATTAAGTAATTGATCGAGTCTGATAGAAACCTCAATAGAATTCAGACTGCGCTGGACGCGAGTTTCGTCCTATATTTGGGACTCATCAGCAATGAAGACGAAGAGGTAGGAAATCAGACTCAATAAAGCGCCGCTCGCTCACATATTCGTCACCGAGGCCCGTTGGTATGACGTTGGCTTAATAACCTAACTCTCCGTGTTTCAATTCTCGGTCGTGGATGCCCATTGCTGATGAGTCCCAAATATAAACGGCCGTCCAGTGCTTTCTGCATTCTGTTGAGGTTTCTTTCAGACTCGAAAT